AAATTCTGTCTCCCTCTGTCCTCCGAGGACACATGTCTTAAAGCAAGAGCATGCGTTCCAGTTGGGTGACTGGCAGCGTGAATATTTGATCCATGTGAAGTGTGACTGGCAGCATGGCATGGCTGAAGCCATGCATACCAATGGCTTTTGCTCCTGCCTTGTACTTGTTGCATCAACCCCCAGAGCCACACTTTCAGCTCCATCCACATGACTGATTCATTTTTTGTTGCTGTCAGACGGAGGATTTTAGTTCTCTAATCGACTTTTGTATAAAAAAGATAAAATATTTACAAAAATATAATTTTCACTGCCCAGTGAGAAGAGAAAATCAGTGGTGATAGTGGTGATTTTTCTTTAGAAAATGAAAGGAAAGCTGAGAATTACAATGATTAAAATGAATTATTCATTTTTGTTGTTTTTCTGCCACGGAGGTAATTATAAAGAGAAATGTTACTGTGATAAACCTAAAGGTGTGGTTGACTGAAAATTTTTTTTAACGATTATTTCTGAATGTAATCTGTTTTTCATGCAGACTTAACATGAAAATAGTCTCCTACACCCATCTCCGGCATTAGCTTCTGATCGAAAATAGTAAAATTCTAAGATTTAACTACGAGACCTGACATACAAACTCCTTCTGGCTGATTTCTGCCTAAAATGTAAATTAAAAAACAAATATACAAACGAAAAATCTCCATAAACAGAACCGCATTAAGCTTTTTAGTCTTCTACCCGCTACTTTTTAACAAACTCACGTTTAAAACTTAATTGCTCTCCTGTTTCTCATCCTGGTGAAAATCCAACGGCAGGCGCACAAAGCATGCTTGGATAGCAGTGCTCTGTGAGGATACGCAACACAGTCTCACACCTGAAGCGTCGAAAACTGACGACGGGTGACCAAGGATTTGTTTCCAACGCGCTGAAAGCCGCTGTGCCAGAGCGTTGTTTTCAGACTGCCGCGGGAAAACGGAGATGTCACCAAATTCTGACCTTTGCCCTCTTGCTGTTTAACCTTCCACTTACCTCCATCCTAAACTTTGTTTCTAGTCGTGACGTCGGTCTCAATCACAGTTAACGGGAAGTTTACCTATGACAAAAAGGGTTAATGTTAGAATGGGGGTGAGGGGGTGGTTAAATAGCAAGAGGTTAGAGGTTAAATGTCGGCGAAATGTGTGTTTTACAGCAGACATCGGAAACCGATGCACTAGCGCATTGCCTCCTTGGAAACAAACGCTTGGTCACCCATCGTCATTTTTCAACACTTTGGGTGTGAGAATGTGTTGGAATACACCAGACCCACCCTAGAAAGTTGGGTGGACTAAGGATGCATTTGAGGACACAATAATGAGTATTCTTCGGACAGTACTCATTACTGCGCTGTGATGTCATAAACCTCAAAATGCGTCCTCATAAGCATCCTTCCCCAGAACTTGGACGCACCCTCTGTCAGCAACAAAAATAGACATTTAGTGATATATTATAAATGTAATCAATTGAAAAGTGAAAATACTTAAGTAAGTCTCCAATTCTACTATTGATACTAAAGTATTTTATTTTCTGCAGTTTCCAACGCTTTCAGTATCTACTTATTACGTCCCCCAGCTCGCTAGGAGTGTAGAGGTGGAGGGAGTAATGAACACATGTGAGGCTTAAGTATTAACAAAGTCATGTGTTGCTATAAACAAGGATTTTATTACACAACTCAAGTGGACTAAGTGTATTTACAATAAAAAGGGATATTTACATAAGTATAAACAAAGGAGCCATTTACGTAAGGTTTAACAGAACACGACCAGCCCAGAAGGGGCTAGGGACACAAACAGAAATGGTCCACAAAAAACAGAGCAGTCCTGTTTAACAGAGACTCTCTGACTAATCCGAATCTGAATCTCACAGAACGAGTTTACTAAACAAAGCTAATGATCGGTCGAGCATGCGAGGATTAGGGTGTTTCTCAATGTTAAGGCGCCTGGCCTTGCGAGGCGATGTCTTGCGAGGCCAGGCACCTTGCTTATGAGGACACTGTCCTTCCTTGGTCAAAGAAAACGGTTAAATGGAACATCACGTGACTGCGGCTTCCATGGTGGTCACATAACGTCACGTGACACTGGAGACAATGTTATATTTTATACGTATTAGTTTCAATATAAATACACAACGAGCCGTTTACTTTTTAAATTGTGTATACGTTTATTAAATTAAATATTTGAGTTACTACCTGCTAGCCACCGAAGCTTGAGTTCATGGATCCGCATTCCTCCTAGCGACGTCAAGACCTCACCGACCCCCCCAGCAAAACTCGGCGCTGGAGGAGATTTATGGGCTCGACACACGGGAGGCAACATCGCCTCTCCTCCATTCATTTTCAATGAGACGTCATGCGCGACAAAGCGATAATCGCGGGTCTCCCTCCTACCAAGCAAAACACGAAATACGTGCGTGTGAAATTTTGCGCTCGTGCACGTGTCGTGCACAGGCGACCCAGCGACACGATCCCAGAAAGTTGAAACATATAATCCATTTCCTGTAGTCGAAGAGAAAAAGGATACAATGAACAGACAAGTCAGTAGCACAATGCCCGAGGCAAAATGCCCCGGACATCTGGTCACAGATTTTATTTATATCAAGAGATAAGAAAGGAATGAGAGAGAGAGAGAGAGAGAGAGAGAGAGAGAGAGAGAGAGAGAGAGAGAGAGAGAGAGAGAGAGAGAGAGAGAGAGAGAGAGAGAGAGAGAGAGAGAGGAGAGAGAGAGAGAGAGAGAGAGAGAGAGAGAGAGAGAGGTCAAGAATGTGTGTGTGTGTGTGTGTGTGTGTGTGGCTTGTGTGGGTGTGTCTGAATAAGTGGGCATGCAAAGAGGCATAGAGCAATACATATAACATTCAGTTGACTGAATCAATGGTCAAGAATTAATAAACATAAAAATTTCCACAACACCATCTAAAACTATTGGTTTTATGTGAAGTTGCTGTAAATAAGGCTGTGCTGCTGTTCAACGCTGATGTCATTAGAGACTCGATGTTTTTGACTGCTATATTTTACACAAAGTGCAGTTAAAAACATGAACCGTAATTAAGCAAGCAAAGCTGTTAGAATCAGTTTTGACCATAATGACATTTAATTGCTTATTTCATTCTACAACCTGATTGTAATGAGGAAAACCCTTTGTGGGAAAAAATGTAGTTTCAAGTGGCATCAATTTAATTTAATAAATTATTTTCATGTTTGTTTTACAGTAAAACATTGTTTTTTTTCCAAGTAAAAACATTTTTCTTCTACAGTAAAATACTGACTTCAGTACCAGTTTAAAACACAAAAATGACAATAAACATACCTTCGTACCATAAAAGAAAAAAAAATGCCCTTAATTTTACGATACTATTTCGGCAACCCTGACTGCCGGCGTTTTACAGTGAAGTGTACGTTTTTTTTTTTTTTTTTTTTTTTACAGTGCAAGAAGTGTGCACGTTGGGTAAATACAAGAAGATTAGGAGGATTAGTAGTGGGAATGTGACATCACTCTTTGTGTTTTGGACATCTGAAGAGAAACACAACAAACATTATAGAGTTTATGTCAACATGAATGGATAAGCTATTTCAGCCTTTAAAACACCATAAAATTCTATAAACATCTTTGGTTATGTTCTTGCTGTGTTGCTTTTCTAACTGCATCGTTGGTTCTTTTTTAAAACACAGAAAATGAAACTGTCAGCAGCAAAGTTAAAAAGAAATATTTTCTGTGT